TTAGGGGCAAATCAGGAACATTCTCCCATGGATTTGACATAATTCAATGAACCATGAATCACTGAATCATAAAAAGAATTCATAGTTTGGAAGATAGGGGTTGGAAAGAGCTGATGTCTAAAACAGACTCTAGCTATAGATACAAGATAATATAAACACCAATAATGGGAGATAAGTTGATGCTAAGTCTAAAATGTTAATAGAACTATCATAATATAGTTACATTGAGATTTTATGTATAAAGATGGGAGTTATTCTGGAAGTGTGTGCTCAGGGCGCAGTGGCTCACGTCTGTAATCCTAGCACTTTGGGAAGCAGGGGCAGGTAGATCACTTGAGGTAAGGAGTTTGAGACTAGCCTGACCAACATGGTGAAACCTCGTCTCTACAACAAATACAAAAAGCTGGGCATGGTGGCATGTGCCTGTAATCCCAGCTACTTGGGAGGCTGAGGCAGGAGAATCGCTTGAACCTGGGAGGCAGAGGTTGCAGTGAGCCGAGATCTTGCCACTGCACACCAGCCTGGGCAACAGAGACCCTTTCTCAAAAAAAAAAATTATTTTTGATCCACTAATTTCATTCTGGGAATCTATCTGGAAGAAACAATCTTAAATTCGAAAAAATATGTCTGTGCTTTTTCTCTTTGTACATAAAGATAATTCTATTCAACATTATGTATAAAAACAATAAAATTGAAAATAACCTAAATGTACAATATTAAGCATATAGTAATAAATTATGGCTCATCTATCTTATAGAAGGCCATTAAAATGTTTGTGAAGATTTTATAATAACCAAAAGCAATAGTTTGCTTATAAGAGCATCTCAGTGAATAAAGCAACATAAAAATATATATACAATATAGTCTCGATCATATAAAAAGTGTATAACAAAAAGAAGGAGAGGAAATATATCAAAATATTTTTATTACCGGTTCTCACTATCTTGCCCAGGCTGGCCTTGAACTCCTGGGTCAAGGGATTCTTCCACATAATTGGAATTACAGGCATGCACCACCAGGCCCAGTTGAAAATATACCAAAGTATTACGAGTGGTTGTCTTGCTGTGGTAAAATAATGGCAGATTTTTGTTGCTGGCCTTTGTACTTTTCAATATTTTCCAAATGTTTTATAGGAACAGCAATTACTTTATGGGAAAACAAATGCTGTATTTTTTCAAATGACTGAGTTTACTACCCCAGATTAAATTAGCGAAGACCAAAAAAAAGAAGGATTAACAGGGGCTAGAAGAAAAACAAAATGTTTGGTGCCTTTTTTTCCACAGTTAAAAGCTATTGTTTGACTTTTTATTGATTCAATTAAGCCAAGGTAGATTTTAAAAGTATTTGTGGACAGCTTTCAGGAACCCACTAGCAGAATCAGAGGAATGGCCATCTTTGAAAATCACAGTAGAAAATAAGAGCAAACAAAACTAAGTCTGCAGAGCAAATGACAAAACTGAAAAGAAACAGGATGCACACATGAAAAGAAAGGCACAAAAACATAGCAGCAGTGAGACTAAGCATGATAAGTTATTAAATGTAGATTCCCTATTAATAGAAAAAGCCTCCCAGATTGTGTTAAAAATTAAAATCCAATACTTTACTGCTTATAAAAAAAAAATCTTAATAACACAAAAAGACTGCAAAGAAAAGGATAGGTAAATATGTAGTAAGCAAGCTTATAATAAATTAGAAAAAGCATTATTAGATTAAAATAGAATTCAAAGCTTAAAGGTTATTTTGATTTAATATAAATATGAGATACACAAAAAGATAAATGGCAATAGATACAACAATTCACAAAATTGAAAATAAATTCGTTAACTATGGGAGTGTTACAGAACCACTACCTCACTGTATCAGTTTTCCTCTTCTTCCTGGGCACATGGGAAAACTATAACTTCCAGTCCCCTTTCAGTGAGATGGGGCCACGTTATTGGGTATAGACAATGGAATGTAAGCAGACATCTGGTGTGTCTCTTCCAGGCAAAAGACTTAAGAGTCATTGCGCCACCATCACACTCTCTCTTCTCCTCTGGTAGGGATTATAGAGACCAGATAAGGATGTGAAGTCATAAGGTGAAAGTGCCCTGGATCTTCCAATCACTGCAGGGAGTGTAGCTGCCCCATAAGTTGGCACCAGACTTTGCACGTAGAGAAATAAACCTACGTTGTTTGGTGCTTTATTTGCTATTACAGCATAGCATATCCTGTCTTGATTAATGCAGTGGGCAAATGTCAAACCACCCAAATAGTCAAGAAATTTAAATTAAACAATGAAGTACTACTTTTCATCGATTAAACTAGAAAGAAAAACTTCGAATATTAATAGTGAAGTGGGGTAAAGAATAATCTTTTCAATAAATGAGGCTGGGTCAAACGGATATCCAGAGGGGAAAATATGTACTTTGACCCTTACCTCACACCAAACACAAAAATGTATTCCAAATTAATTGTAGCTGTAAATATGAAAATTAAAACAAAGCTCTTAAAATTAGAAAAATATTTTTATGATCTTAAGTTAGGCAAAGATTTCTTATACAGGACAGGACATGAAATGTGCTAACCATGTGGGATATATTTGATTGGTTAAACAATATTAAGATAAAGAACTTGTGATCATCAAAAAACTTGGTTTAAGACAGTGAAGGAGCTCGGTGCAGTGGCTCATGCCTGTAATCTCAGCACTTTGGGAGGTCAAGGCAGGTGGAGGGAGGTCAAAGCTACAGTGAACTGAGATCACACTGCTGCACTTCAGCTTGGATGACACAGCAAGACCCTGTCTTAAAAAAAAAAAAAAAGACAGTGAAAGGATGCTGGGTGCAGTGGTATGCACCTGTAGGTAGTCCTAGCTGCTGAGGAGGCTGAGACGGGAAGATTGAAAGTTCAAGATCAGTCTGGGCAAAATAGGAGACTCTTACCCTGCCCCGATCTCAGAAAAAAAAAAAAAAAAAAAAAAGACAGTGAAGGCAACCACAGGGTGGAAAAAGATAGTTGCAATACATATATCTGACAAAGGACTCGTATTCAGAATATGTAAAAAACAAAACCTTTAAGAAAAAGACAGATAATATAGTAGAAACATAAACAAAAACTTGAACGGTTGTCTCACAAAAGAGAATAACCAAATGCAAAAAAAAAAATGCTAAATTTATTTAGTCAACAACAACAAAGCAAATAAGGCAAATGAGATACCACTCAACAGATAGGCTGAAATGAAAAATATGAAATGTCAATAAATATGTGCAACACTGGGAACTCCCACACACTGGTGAAAGTGGATATTGGTACCTGGTAGCAGTAACCATTAAAGTTGAAATGTCCATATCTGTGATCCATCAATTTCATTCCTAGGTATATACCCAACAAAAAGGCATTATATATATTCATCAAAAGCACATGGACAGGAATGTTCATAAAGCAGCACTGTTTGTAATAGCCTCAAACTAGAAATTACCTAAGCACTCATCAGAATAGATTGTGGAACATTCACATAATACAATACTATGCAGAAATGAGAATTAACAAATCACAACTAAACACAATGATGTAGATGAACTGTACAAAAATAATATTGGGCAAAGGAAGATAGACATGAAAGATTACATACTATGTGATTCCATTTATATAAAGTTTAAAAACAGGCAAATCATTCTGTAGGTTAAAAATCAGGAAAGTGGTTACCCTTGAGAGGATAGGAGGGAGGCTTTTGAGTGACTGGTAATGTTCTGTTTCTTAGTTTAGGTTCAGGTTACACAGTACATTTACTTTGTGGAAATTCATCAAGCTATACATTTAGATTTGTATACTTTGGTACATGTATGTTATACTTCAATAAAATGTTTAACATATACAATAAAAATATAGACACACTACACACACAATATAAAATTATGGGAAGTATCTAGTTAAACTAGTTGATATGGTTTGAATCTGTGTCCCTGCCCAAATCTCATGTAGGATTGTAATTCTCAGTATTGGAGGTGGGTCCTGGTGGGAGGTGATTGGATCATGGGGGTGAATTTCCTCCTCTGCACTGTTCTTGTGATAGGGAGTGAGATCTCATGAGACCTGGTCATTTAAAAGTGCCACCTTCCCTCATTTCTCTCTCTTGCTCTTATTCTGACCATGTAAGACATGCCTACTTCCCCTTTGCCTTCCGCCATGACTAAAAGTTACCTGAGGCCTCCCCAGAAGCCACACAGATGCCAGCATCATGCTTCCTATACAGCCTGCAGAACTGTGAGCCAATTAAACCTATTTTCTGTATAAACTACCCAGTCTCAGGTATTTCTTTATAGCAGTGAGAGAGCAGACTAATACTCTAGTATTCTCATAGCTTGTTGGTAAACTGGTACAAACATTTTGGAAAGTGATTTGGATATATGTATAGTCCACTTTAACTGTGTAGCATACATATATTCCCATTTCTGAGAATCTTTCCTAAGAAAAAAATCCAAAATATGGAGAAATACTATGAATAAAAATGTTTATCACAGAGTCAAAGTCAATTATAACTATAGCATGTCCTGTTAGTATAGTTTTATTCAGCCAGTTGTGACTACTTTGAAAACTCTAGTGCAACATGACAAAAGCTTTTGATACAATGTAGGGTGAAAAAGGAAACAGAAAATTGTATGCTATTATTATAACTAAGGAAATATACCAGTTAGAATAGCATAACTAAAAAGGAAAACACACAAATGATATATATGCAACTTTCTTGCCCAATCTCATCTACTCTTGTGACTCATATGGATCACATATGTACAGAGCTAGACAGGATCTCACTCTGTTGCCCAGGCTGTAGTGCAGTGATGTCATCACATCTCACTGCAGCCCCAAACTCCTGGGCTCCAGGGATCCTCCCACCTCAGCTTCCAGAGTAGCTAGGACTACAGGTGTGCACCACCATACCCTGCTAATTTTTTTTCTCTTTTTCTTTTTTTGGAAGAGGCAGGGTCTCACTATGTTGCCCAGGCTGGTCTCAAACTCCTGGGCTCAAGGCATCCTCCCCCGTCGGCTTCCCAAAGCACTGGTATTATAGGTGTGAGCCATCACATCCAGCTTAATGATGACTCTTAAATTTGTATCTTCAGCCCACATCTTTCTCCTGAGCTCCAGGATGTTCAGAATCATCCCTATGCATCTCCCCTTGGATGTTCCACAGTTTTCTCAAACGTCTTCATCCTATATTCACTATCTTGGGTAGAAACAGGACCAGGAATAAGAACCAAGACAAGAACCCAGTTAGTTATCCAAACAAGAGACCTGGGAGTCATTCTTGTTTCCCCCCAGCTCCCCATTTCCCATACTTCCATCCCTTACCACTCCCTAAGACTACAGTGTCTCTTAAACGGCCTTTTGAATCCATCTCCTCCCATTCATTCATCTATCCATCCATCCATCCTTCTTCCATTGTGTTAGTTCAAACTTGTATTATTTTTCCTCCTGGATTATTCCAAAAGCTTTCCAACTAGTCTTTCTAGCACTATGTGATTCTTTTTTATCTTTTTAATCTTGTTATCACCTGCCTATCTCCCCAGTTTTATATCTGGTTGCTGCCTCATGGGAATCCTACACTGCAGCCACACCAAAGTTATTACAGTGACCAAACAGGTTATACACTGTTTCACTTCCTTTGCCTTCTTGCAGCTTGGAATTTCCTTCTCCTACCTATTCTTTCCCATACCCTTTTCCTAATCTTATTTGCTTAACTCACCATTCAAGACACAGCCCAAGCCTCTCTCCTTGGCTGGAGAACCTTTGGGGAATCACATTTTTATATGATTGTAACCATGGGGTACACTGATTCTCCTTCTTGTTTTTATCACTAACATTAAAACGGAGCAATTTTTTAATTTGCCAAGGTGCTCTTCATAATTATTATTTAACATGCAATATTAAGCTATCTCCTTGCTCCCATAGTATACTAGTATAATTTTTATTATATCACTTATCACTTTGTTTTATAATTATTTTTGCATGTCCACCTCCTCCACTAGGCCCTGAGTTCCTTGAGGGCAAATACTTTGTCATATTCATTTCTATATCCTTAGCACAGAGCCTGCTGCAAAGTAGGAATTCACTAAATGAAAGTGAGTCAATGACTAAGTAATGGTTATTATGTTCACACAATAGTCTTTTGGGTAACATTTTTTTTCCTTTTCTCAATTCCCCAAATTTTCTGTGGCTATGTATTCTTTAGATTCACCATCTCTTTTTTTTTTTAAAGGAGAAGATTAGAATGTAATTTTTAGTAATATTACCTTTAACATTTTAAATGATTTTTATTTATAAAATGCCTTATGACTCCCAACTTCACTTAATAAGTACAGTCCAGGCTGGGTGAAGTAGCTCATGCCTATAATCCCAACATGTTGGGAGGATTGCTTGAGGCTAGGAGTTTGAGACCAGCCTGGGCAACATGGCAAGGCCCTGTCTCTACACAAAATGGATAAAATCAGCCCCAGGTGCGGTGGTGCAAGCCTGTAGTCCCAGCTACTTTGGAGGCTGATGTGGGAGGATTGCTTGAGCCCAGGAGGTCAAGGCTGCCGTGAGCTATGATTGTGCCACTGCGCTCCAGCCTGGACTACCGAGTGAGATTTTTCAAAAAAAAAAAAAAAAAAAAAAAAAGTACACTCAGCCCTCTGTGTTCATGGTATCTATATCCATAGATTTAATCAACTAAAGGCTTAAAATAAAATATTTGAAAAAAAAGAAATGGTAGTGGTTGCATTCTATACTGAACATGTACAAACTTTTCTTTTTTGTCATTATTCCCTAAACAATAGTGTGTAGCAACTATTTACAGAGCATTTACATTGTACTAGGTATTATAAGTAATCTAGAGATGATTTAAAGTTTATAAGTATGTAAATATGATACCGCTTTATAGAAGAGACTTGAGTATCCTTGAATTTTGGTATGGGAAGGTGGTCCTTAAACCAATCCCCTATGGATACCAAGGGACAACTGTACATACACAATGAAGAAAAACTAGAGGACCATTTGTTATCTCCCATTCTATCTGTAACACCCTTCATCATGCCTAATTAACAGTTACCTCTCAGTCGTTGTCTAACTAGCCCTCCTAGCAGTATTTGATTCAGCTGATTGCTCCCTCCTTCTTAAACCTCTGTCTTTATTTGACCTCTGGGACACTGTCCTCCCACCTTGATGCCCGCACCTTCCTCCCGTGGACCCTGGTTCTCAACCTTGACTGCACATTAGACTCACCTGAGAAGCTTTTAAAAACAACAGATACCAAATCCAGGCCCCTTTTGTAACAGAATCTCTGGGGCTGGAGTCAGAATATCAAGGGTGGTAAAGCAGCCCAGATGATTCTAATTGGGACCAGTGTTGAGCAGCACACTGTGTGGGTTTAAAAACCATCTCCATGCAGATTGATTCAGAATACACTTCTCCAGCCCTGACCACTCTGTGAGCTCCAACCTCGGCTAGCACGGCTTCTCTTGGGCTGTCTAATAACTCACATATCCAAAACGGAATTCTTGATTTTTGCCCCCAAACCTGTTCTTTCCCCAGTTTTCCCATCTCTGTAAATGGCCCCATTAGTTAGTAGTTGCTGAGGCTGAAATCCTAGGAGTTGTCTGATTCCACATTTCCCACATCCATGTAATTAAGTTCTGATCTGCTACGCATTAAAAGCACACTCTAATTTAGTTACCATTTCTCCTTTTCTCCATGGCTACCACTCTAGTCTAGGCTACCATCATCTCTTACTGAGCTAAAACAATAACCTCGTAGCTAGTTATTCCTGCCCTACATTGCCCTCTGCGTCCACAATGACTTGGCCTCTGTTCTAGAGCTTCAGCCTCCTCTCTGAGCATTCTCTGCCTTGCTCACTCTCTGCTTCATCTCATCGGCCTTTTTTTTTTGAGACATAGTCTCCCTCTGTCACCCAGGCTGGAGTGCAGTGGCGCAATCTCGGCTCACTGCAACCTCCACCTCCTGGGTTCAAGCAATTTTCCTGCCTCACCCTACTGAGTGCCTGGGATTACAGGTGCCCGCCACCATGCCCAGTTAATCTTTGTATTTTTAGTAGAGATGGGTTTTTGCCATGTTGGCCAGGCTGGTCTTGAACTCCTGACCTGAAGTGATGTGTCTGCCTCTGCCTCCCAAAGTGCTGGGATTACAGGTATGAGCCAGTATACCTGACCCCTTTTTTCTTTTTTGAGGCAGGATCTCACTCTGTCACCCAGGCTGGAGTGCAGTGGCCCGATCACAGCTCACTGCCCGATCACAGTCACCCAGGCTGGAGTGCAGTGGACCTCCTAGGTTTAAGGGATCCTCCCACATCAGTCTCCAGAGTAGCTGGTACTACAGGCACACACCACCATGCTGGCTAATTTTTTGATTTTTTGTAGAGATGGTTTTTTTGCACCGTTGGTCAGGCTGGTCTCGAACGCCTAGGCTCAAGGGATCCACCTGCTTCAGCCTCCCAAAGTGCTGGGATTATAGGCGTTAGCCACCTCATTGGCCTTCTTAAAGCTATTTCTCAAACAGAACAAGTACTGCTACCTCAAGACAGAAAGCCCTTGTGAGAGACCTTGGCATACAGAATCCTAAGTGTCTTGAGGGGAGGGAAGGGCGTGGTTATTGGAAAGAGAAACCAAATTAGGAACAGAACTGGTCATCAAGGATATACTTTACCATTTTGAAAAGAACTCTGTCTCTTTTCAACTACCAAAGTGATAGAAGTACAGCAATTTTTAGACTCAAGGTCCTTATTGAATAAGGCCCCCAAAAGGATATGGGAGCATCTCCTACCAAGACTATAGTGCATTTTTGAACAAAAAGTTTTTATATTAATAGCATCCATATTTTACTACCTAGCATATTTTTTTTTTTAATTTTGAGACAGAGTTTTGCTCATGTTGCTCAGGCTGGAGTGCAATGGCGCGATCTTGGCTCACCGCAACCTCTGCCTCCCAGGTTTAAGCGATTCTCCTACCTCAGCCTTCTGAGTAGCCGGGATTACAGGCATGCGCCACCACACCTGGCTAATTTTGTATTTTTTAGTAGAGACGGGGTTTCTCCATGTTGGCCAGGCTGGTCCCGAGATCTCCCGACCTCAGGTGATCCGCCTGCCTTGGCCTCCCAAAGTGCTGGAATTACAGGCGTGAGCCACCGCGCCCGGCCTTGCATTTTTGAATGCTTACTATATGCTAGGTTCTATACAGAGTGTTTAAATGCATTATCTAATATGCTCCTATCAATGAACTCTGTAAGATAGATAATATTGTTCTTCTCATTTTTGTAAGCAGGAAAACTCAGATTTAGAGGGATTAGGGAGCTTGTCCAACATCATGCAGATATTAAGGGAAGAAACCAGGATTGGAACCCAGGTCTGCTTGAGGCCAAGTCTGTGCTCTCAACTGTTCTGCATAGGCCTTTATTTCTTTCAGTTTCCACAGATACACTTCTTGATTTCTGGATGGAATGTCATGGAACTTTCAGTTACAGACAGGAGCTTAAGGGAAGCTCTTTGGCTTCTCACCCTTTCTTCTCCTCCATCTTCTCTCTTCATTGACTCAATATAAGACAGATAGGCTTGGGTAAAGACACCTCATGACAACAATAGTAACCTCGGCTAGGGAGCAGGCAAAAACAGCAGTGGAAAAGTAACTCCAAGCCTGACAAAGCAGCGAAGACATATCGAGCAAAACATTAGCTGAAATGAACTGAGAATCAGTCAGCTTTATAAGGAAAACTACAGGGAAGCTTAAGATTTTTCTTGTCTAAATACAGTCAAACAAAGCTGCTGCAATATATATTGCTCTTATTCTTTTTGTCAAGCAGTTATAGACTTATTAAACAGAAGACATTTAAATGTTAGTTTAGGCATTCTACCATTTTCCTGGTTTGGGGTATCAATTTAACTTAACATCAAAACAGTCTTAATTTTCAAGTATATGGCCTCTTACACTGATGACTATTAAATTTTATATATACTTTTTATTATGTTGGATAATTCAATGCATTTTTGGTGCTGTAATTTTGAATGACTCTTTCCAGGGTTCCGAGGTAGCTTGCACCTGCTCTAGTTAGTGCTTTTTATACCCCATCTAATGATGGGTTTGAAGACTATTCTAACATTTCTTGTTACACCAGAATGGGCCTTATATTCGATGTAAGAAGATATGGAATAACAATTACCAGCTGTATAGGGAAATTGGC